ATAATATTATCTGTTATACAGTCTGTTCTTTGAAAATATGCTAATTGCAGGCTTTATAAATGATATGGAGATGAAAAATTTTTAAGTCCTTAAGCAGTATAATTAACCTTTATGATTTTTTTACTAGCCAAATTTAAAAGTATACAAATGATTTATTTAAAATCAGTCAGGTTGAGGGTGGGTGGTAGATGAGGGTAAACAGGGTCAAATATATGGTGATGGAAGGAGAACTGACTCTGGGTGGTGAGCACACAATGTGACATATAGATGATGTATTATGGAAATGCACACTTGAAACCTATATAATTTTACTAACCAATGTCACCCCAATAAATTTAATAAAAAATTTTAAAAATCAGCTAGCTGAAAAAGAATTTTTCAATATTTTGAGCCAATTAGCTAATTTTAAATTTGCTTTGTTTCTTCTTATGCAATTTCCTATTCTCATTCTTTTTCTGAAACTACTAATGTAGAAGTAGGAAATTAAATTCACAATATAGTAAATAAAAGTACCATGTTCTGACGAGGTTTTTAGTCCACTGTTTATAACCCTGTTTTAGATTGCAAATGTTTCTTACCAGAAAAGCCTGAAGGGCTTATTATAACACACTCTCATATACACACTCACTGTCCTTTATGTTGTTTTATGGTCTGAGAATTAGCATTTATGTAGTTTCTCCTATATGCTGCCCTGTGCTTCTCAGCCTCCCATGCAAACATTGTAATACGAAATACTCTGTGTGCAAAATTCTTGCAAAATACTCATTGCTATTTTGTGTGCATACATTTTAATTAAAGCACATAAACCATGTTGTCTGGTATATTTACTCTGCTTCATCTCTGTTGTTGTGCCCTTTGCTTCTAATTTCTGGAATATTCTTCATTGTGTTTGTCCTCCGTATCTCCCCTATAATCGAATTCTTCCATCACCCCAGAAACCACAGGAATATCTCAGTTGAACATCCCCCCTGCAGCCCTCTTTATCACCAGTTTTTCCATGAGGAAACTGAGGCATGTGCAGTTGTGTCATCTTACCAGGATTGCACAGCTGGGATTAGGACTCTAGCAGTTGTCTCCCAGATGCTGCCATCACCCTGAGCCCCTGCAGAGCCCGCCCTGTGTATTATATTCCACATGCTGTCTTCAGAACCGCTAAGCTAGCCTCAACTTCCACCTTAGTCTAAAGTAGCTTCAGCAGAATAATTCAGTGACGGATCCAGGCATCAGAACTCTGTGAGCTTTGTCATAAAGCACATACAGTGTAATGAGAAGCTAAAAATGCTATTCTGTTGAGCTCTAGTTGGAACTGAGATGGGAAGGGAACCACCCATTATTAAATGTCTACTGTGTGTCAGGCATGGTAACAGAAATTTTACGTTTAATAATTAACTTTATCTACTCAGGTGCCCCATGAAGTACTGAATGACCCCCTTGTAACAAATCACATAATGAGCCCGAGTTCTCATAACGTATGATTGCCTACATCGCAAGTTGACTCCCTCCTGCTCAGCTCCCCAAAGCTCACACTTATCTTAAGCACCCTGCCTCATTTTAATGAATGCATTCTTTACAAACGAAAATAAACGATGGAGGCAAGTGTGTTGACTATGCAGGTGTTTATCTCATTTTGGCAAATTGCGTGCAGAGTCAGCCTTAGCACAGCTTCGTGTGAAATCCTTTCCAAATACCACATCCTATCTGCGTGTCTGTGTTCTTATTTTTAAATAACCTACAGGAGTCAGTAAAAGGTACAAAATGGATGTTTCGTATATGACATTGAGGTTCATTTTCCTAGAAAACAGACATTTGGGAGCTCCACTGATACACATGTTGGAAATGGGTTCTCATATGAAAAGGCTGGTTGCACCCGTAAGGCAGTTTGAACCCTGTCCTCCTCTGCACACGTGACTATGTTAAAACATTGTTTCTGTTCCCACTGACCTCTAGGTGGAAATGACTTACAGGTCTTTATGGTGATGATGACTGGGAATTATTAAGGGCCTATCTTAGTTCTTAAATGGAGGATTTCCAAAATCCTTTTTCAAAGAATGATGGAACAAAAAATTTTTTATTTTTTCAATAGATAATTTTTTTTTCCTGAGCTTGAGCAGTGATGAGTATGATGATGAATCAATATCAATTTAGGCACTAGAATGTCTTCTGAATGATAAACCCCATCAATAAAGACAGAACTAAATCAGCCAAAATTGGGAAGTCAGTAGATGGGCACAAGAGTGGCTCTTCCCTTAGAAATACCTTTCTCCCATTATTTCTGCTAGAAGACCAGTCCTGGGAGAAGACAGTGTTGCCAAAGGGCCAAAACAGACCATTGAAACCAGCACAGGCGTTCTCACCAATTTGGCTGTTCTGGGAGGGTCACAGTCCAACCCAAGGACAGGGGAAGTTAGAGGCAGGCTGATGGCGAGATGCTGTGAAGTCCCTCAGATCTCACCACAGAGGTGTCTGCCATACTCCTGCCCCACAGAGAGCTCAGTTGGCTTGGCTCAGAGGTAATTAGCAGAAGTCATTCATAGTGATACTTCAAGGATGCTGCGGTTGCTCAATTTATTTTCAAATCAAACGGAAAATGGTAGTGTCCCCTTAACCAACCTAAAGGCATACTTGACATTTTTAAGTTTAATGACTGTTGTTTAGGTAATGCAGTATTTTGACAGTGTTTAGAAAGAACAGGGCGTTGACCCCTTTTAAAGGCTGATATATGGTGGAGATACTAATATTTATTGATAGAATTTTAGCACATGGTACAAACTATTATAGTAATATGTAATTGTGTGCACTTATAGACGAGTATGATACATATTCTAGAAAATGTATGAATATGGTGACACCACTTCTTGAGTTTGGGATGGGCAGATTGACTACAGGTATCTTACTAAATTGCAAATTAAAAATGTGTAAATTACTTTGAAAGAATGTAATAATTTGTAGGAGTTATAATTTTATTTAGGGTGATATAAAGATGCAGTTTTCAAAATTATTTTTATTGGGTTGTCGGAAAAGTCATGATGTATTTTTTCTATGTTTTTTGTTGCAAAAATGTGTCATGAGTTTTCCGACAACCCAATAAAATGAAAGTTGAATAATAGTGAAAATACTAGCTTACATTTATCTTTAAAACTTTAAACATTGTAAAAGTAGCACTTTTATTTTTTCAAGCTCTGCCTAAGTTATTTAAACTATATATAAATACTGAAATAGAAAGTAATTTTATATTGAATATGCTTTTGTGTGCTTTATATAACATCGTACGTTTTCTTTCTTTATGCAATTCATTATTTTAGAATATGGTAATCAGCCATCTTCTGACTGCCTTTGAGTAAGGTCTTGTTATTACTTGTTCTAATTGTTTTTGTAACAAGATAGAGGGAAAGGATGAGATAGTTTTTACGTTCCTTCTAGCTCTAAAATTCTGTGGGTCTGTGATCCTATGTCTTGTACCTTTTTTTTGCCTCCCTGGGGAGTCTGCTATTCTTTGTTCATCGCACTCTTCTTACAAATTTGAATCAAAGTCTACGTGGCAGAGTATCAGTTCACTGACAATATGTGCCAATATATTATTTTGTGCAAATGTGACCAAATGAATACCTACTAAAAAGTTTTTCATTTTACGATTTTAAACCTTCTGAATTTAATGAATAGCCTCTAATATTTGGCATTTTTTATGTTTCAGTGTCATCATTTTAATCTTTAGCAAGATCATTTATATAACAAACTTTTAATCCCTTTATACTAGTGAATGAAAGGCAGGAGAAATAGCTTACCTTCTTGCTGTCTTGATTCCTCCCTTGTTGACAGGATGGATGAGATAATCTGTGCTTCGTTTAGATGAATTTTTTTTCAAGTGCTAACTTTTCTATGTTGACATATTCCCTAACATGTATATATGTATTCTTTCTACACAATCTTCATATAACTGCATTATTTTTGAAGTCAAGTTTAATATGAAACCACCATTGAATCCATTCCATACTCAGGATTTTTAGATTTTAGTTAGTTTTAATCTGAAGGATTAGGGTGGTGTTTCTACCAAGTGTAGAATAAATCAAGTTCAATGATAACCTGGACTATCTGAATCTCTTTTTTTAATGACCTGGTACCTATCCGTGTCAGTGTCCTGAAATCTTCACATTGTGAAGTCACTTACCTTGTGATATGTAAATTATTTTTTCAGGGAAAGTTATGTAAATCTTTACTTTGCAATTGCACTCTGAGGAAAGGTTTTAATTTGAGAAATAACACAAGCCCTTATTCCTTCTTCTGAAAGCAGCATTTGCATGGCTTTCATATGGTATACATGTTTGCATAGAAACTTTATCTTCTATTTTACATCTGCATGGCTTATAGCCTTTATTGTTAATGGTTCAAATCTTATCTGCAGGATATTAAAAATGCTTAAAAGCTACAATTTTTATATTTTCAGCTAATTAGGAAATGATTTTTTTTAATACACAAATGCCATCTGTATCAAGTCAAATAGACTTGAAGGGAAATTGTTACACTAGAGTATTTTTTTTTAAAGGAATGAGCCTAAAATCGGAGAGATATACTGAAGTGGTGAAAGAGAAAGAGGCAACCCCTTCATCTGCTAAGATCATTTGAATCTCTCTTGTATCAATTAAATTATCAGCTGTTGCAGTGAGATGATCTTTAATGTCCATCCTATTCAAGGGTTTAGAGGCACTAATGATTAGTTTATGAAATAAGGTTTACCCTCAGTGCTGTAACACTGACATTATATCAAACTGCTAAATAGATTATGTGTCATATTTTTACTCTTGACATTTTGGGGTTCTAGTTCGAATAATTAACTCTTTTGTCTTTCACATACCCTCAAATTAAGTAATATTATTTAAGTGTCACGTTATACGGGAAAAATATATTCACATTCCTTTATTTGGTAGTTCACTTGGTATCTTACTTTGCTAAATATATCTTATGTAGGTAGTATTTGAAATATGATACATATATAAAATGCTTACCATAATCGTTAGCTTTACCCCAGCGATCTTTAAAGTTAGATTATCCATTTTTCCTTCTGCCTCAGTGTTTGCATATGAAACCCGGCTCTCATATCCTGAAGGTACTATACAAAGCAACTGATAAGAAATGAGCTTCATGAGAATAAACCAGTTCACTGAGAAATGCTGATTACGTCCTCAGAATTAAGAAGTCAAACAGAAAAGCTGATGCCATGTCATGAAGTAGGTCAGTTATAACAGACAAGCTTTAACTAATATAAGTAGGCCATTTCATTAAGAAAAACAAAACAAAATGGCAGACTGGATAGCTCAGCACATAGCAATTGGAAACGTATCCTTGGTAGAGTGTCTCTTTCCTCTTAAGTTTTCCTCTAATGGTTTTATTTCATTTTAAAATGTATATTAGAAGTAATTATTTTAAGTCTGATTAAAGATAATGGCTTAAGTCTGAAAAAACCCCCACAAAACTTTGACGTTGGGTACAAGTATTCTTGTCTTAGTAAATAGATGTTAGACTGATTTTCTGAACCAGTTTGATCCCAGAACTAAGCCCCCAAATACAGTGTTTTATAGATAATTGGTGAACTCTGAGGAAAAGTAATATTGCTGTTGTCTTTTTAACTTTCAATTGAAAACAATTGTGTATAGACAATGTAGAGTGATAGTGATATATTTTGGTTACTTCATTCCAAGTCCATGTTCAACTACTTACTATGCACATCCTTGGGCAAGTTATTTAACTTTTGAAAACCTTCGTTTTTTCTATCTGTAATGTGTGGAAAATAGAATTGAGCCCTTAAGCTGATAGTAAAGATTAAATGAAGCAATCCACTTGAGCATTTATTGAAGTGACTGCTTCATGGTAATCATAAACAAATACTAGCTATTACTACCAAGGGAATCGGCATTTTAAAATGTAAATTCAGTATGAACATGCAAGTGAAAGAAGACTTAGAATATTATTTTTAATCATTAGTAGGAAAATACAATATATTGATAAGGGACGCAACTGTAATTTAGAGTAAAAATAAGTGACATGGCTGAGAAATAGCAGGTACCACAGGTCACCCAGGCAGGTCATCTGACTTCTTTTGTGAGGGAGAAGAGACGTGCCAGAGAGAAGCAGCCAGACCTCAGTAGCCAAACACCTGCCAGGTGACTGAGGTAAAGTTGTGAAATGAAAATGGTGAATCCCGAGAACTAGGTGAGAAAGAAAAGTCATTTGAGCGACAGAATTATGCTTATTTTCTACAGATGCAGGATTTTGAAAATGTGATTCACAGAGTTTATGGGAAAGGCAGTCAGGGAAGGAAGAACTAAAGATATGGATTGAGGTTTCAAGCGAGGCGTAGTTTAGCCAGGGCTATGGGTGTTGTGAGAGACATTTTAAGGATGAATGTGGTCATATATATGAAACACTCTCTGTTCCTTGGAAGAAAGGTTCTATAAAAACATAACATATTGCTGATTCACAGGATGAATGGGGAAGGTTGAAAGATTTTCAGGCATGAGGAAAGGGCACATTCACAATCCAGTGAGAAGCAAAGGATATTGAAAATGGAAGGTTGGCATCAAGAAAAGAAAAGAAAAAAATTAAAGCTCCTTTTAAGAACACACACACACACACACACACACACAGAGGTCTAAACAGGACTATCTTCATTTTGAGTTATTCTGTAAAATAATGGATTATTTTTTAAAAGGGTGGGTTTTTTTATTTCCAAGAGAACTGCACTTAGCGTGGAGAGTAAGTGCTTGACGTTAAAATGAATACAGTGGTCTGAAGAGCAAAGAGTGAACTTGGAATAAATGTCTAAGGAGACAAAGTTATAAAAGCAAAAGTGCAATAGAAACAGGAAAGAGGTAGGTATTTGGATAAAAGTTATTTTGCCAAGCACTTCAGGGAAATGTTGTGAAGGATGGGATTTTTTAAAAGAACTTCCTTAGAAAGTCTGTATAGAGTGCATGGAGAGGATAGCTTGCAAGGGGATATGGCCATTTTTAGATAAACAAGGTGTGTTGGAGGAAATTAGAGTGTGTCCCCAGGGGGTGTCATGTGGAGCGGCTGATTAATGTTCGGATCTCATAATTGATGCAAAGGTGGCTACCAGGGAGCATGGCCAAGAGGATGCCTTTGAAACAAATCAAGGGTTCAAACTACAAGCTCTTCTGAGTGAAAACATGTTGCCCTTGACCATCTCCGCTCCGTTCATGACCTGACCCTGGAGATAGTACCGATCTCTGATTAATTCGGCAACCAAAGGATGTTACCACTGAAAAGGATTGTCAGCTGGAGTTTTACTGGTAACTGGAAGGGTTCTAAGAATGACGGTCTTAGGACTTGAGGAAGGGGCTTTGGGAGAACAGATTTACTGAACCCTCACAGGCGGTATTACCATAAATTGAAATCGCGTGCTCTGGTATGTGTCTGGCATATGCTTGGAAAGATAACAGCAGATCTTTCATTTGCAACTACCATGGCCATGGCAATCACATGAAAGACGTAATGTAATGCCCTTGACTTTGGAATGCTATCAGGTTCTTTTACTATACCAATCTAGGACGTTATTTCAGTGCAAATAAGGAAAGGAAAACCTCGGGCTGTCTCATTCGTTTTGTCTGGTACTTGCAGAGAGGGACTAATGTTGAGTTTGTTTGTGGACTTCTCTGTTTTCTCTCTTTTTGCTTGCTGACCACTCTTCCATTCAGTTGCCATTCCTTTCCATCTACTTCGAGGATAAACCCAGCACCACACTGATCCAAGCTGCGTCCAGCTCTCCCGGATGGCTGCAGCTGTCTCTGTAGGGCCGTCCCACCCCGACCCCTGCAGTCTACTCCCACCCAGGACACAGGGCCTCCTTTTAAAAAAATAAGTCAGACCCTCTCACTCCCGCCACAAGCCTTCCCATGGCTTCCGGCTCACTCAAAGCCACGTCCTAGAGCAGGCTGAACGCCCCTGGCATTTACCCTCACCTCCTCTCTCACGTTGCCTCCCATCACACGCCTTTTTGCTCGCTTCACCCTGGCCACCTTCGTCATCTCCTTATCGCTTTTCCGCCTTTCTAAGCACCCTTCTTCCTCAGCTTCTTTACTCTCGCTTGTCCTTCTTTCTGGAAATTTCTTCCCAAGCCATCTCCATCACTTACTACCTCACCTGATTGGCTCAAATGTCACCTGAGGATGTACCTGACCACGACACTTAGCATGGCTGACACACTGCAGCCTGCCTCCTCCCAAATTACCTTTGTCTCCCTTCCTCGTATTATCTGATCCAGGCAGGTGCATAAGGCACTCCCCACTGCCTGACAGACGGTACCATTTATTTCATTTTTCTGTTGATTTGCTGTCTCTCACTACTTGAATGGCAAACTCCAGGTAAACTGGGATTTTTATCTGTATTGTTTACTTTTGAATCACAGAACCTAAAACAGTTTATAGCATGTAGACATGTTTTAAAAATTGATGTTGAATATATAAATGAAGGGTGTTCCACCCAGAAGCTTGCTAAAATGCATTGTTATCTTGAAGTTATGAAACAATGGGGATAGGTATCTGACTATGACTAGGAACTGGTACATAGTGAGAGTGAGAGGTTAGAGAAAAGGATGAAATAAAGACAGTGAAAAGCCCATGAAAGTACACAAAAGATATGAAACTATGAACTGATTTGCTTGAAAACGTTAAGACACTTTTTGTTTTTAGAGTTAAGAATACTGTGTATTTGCTGAGCTTAACTCATCTTTTGGCAAATTAGAAAATAAAGTCCCCCAAACCTGAAACTTATTCTAAAACCAGATGTTTAAAATTTTTTATGAAAACAAAAACGTTGGCTTTCTCTTTAAATTGTAATCTTATGAAAGGGAAGAAATTAAGCAGTTATTTAGGCCACTTCAAACACTTAAGCATTTGGGGATATATATTTAAAATGTTCACATCCTTACATAACTTAACCAAAACTATGGTTTAGCATTGATTTCTAAGTAAATTTTAATATTCAAACTTTTATAGTCAAACGTTTCTACCTGCTTTTATAAGTTAACCGAACCTTGTCTATTTATTTTTGTCAATAGATGTCAGTGGTTGACCATATTAGTGAAATTATTGCAGATGTACCTGTTTTATTCCACTGTTAAAAAGCTAGGCTTTAAAGGAATGTCTCATTTCTTAAACAGTCCTTTTTATTATGTCACCTTGAGAAGTAATATATAGTTGTGGCACAATAGTGTTGACAATAGGAAATGTTAGTAAATTCCCTAATTGATTGCAACTCTTGAAATATTTAAGAGCTATAGGAAGCCTTCACAAAGCAAAAATGACTTTCTAAAGTGCTTGCTTTGTTTATATAGATTTATGTATATTCCTCCAAGAAGCGTTTTCAACGTACAAGAGAAATTGCTCAGATATATAGCGTTTTATTCACATTCATGTCTGCCACGAAGATTTTTATTGACGTTTCAAGCAACTTCTTCGAAAACAAATCCAGAAACACTGTCCAAGACAATTTGCAAATAAAGTTTTTTTTTAAAAAAAAACACCTATTATAAACAGTTTTATGCTAATTGGGCACTCATCACTTTATATCTGCTAAACAGGCTGTGAACATTGCATATGGCATAAAATATTCTTGTTCAAAGCCTTAAACACCTCCAATGAGATACAATTGTTTCTCCATCTCCTTTTCTACTATTTAATATTTTCCCTTTTACTGAGTTTCTTTCCTTAAATATATCTTCTGTAGTTAGAAATGATGTGAGAAATAACACTAGATGGTTTATTTACCTGGAGTGATAATTTTTAAAGTCCTGGTAACAGTTCTCCAGAATTTTCAAGAATGGTAAACTATGCTTCTCTCTTCTTTGGTCAATGGGAAATGTACAAACGCCTGATCTATTTCAAAAATTTTCTTTATCATTTTTTTCCCACTAGAAAATTGTTACTACTATGTTGAACAAAATAGGCAATATTTTGATAAGGATTTCATTGAATAGAACTAAAATGTATGCCATCATTTAATGGTAACTCAAGATGTATTTATTGTGCTCCTATTATAGCCCAGGAACTTATGATGTTTTCTTTCTTACCTGTGGTTATCTGTTGCCACGTAGAGAAGTTCTTTGCTCTTATTCTTATGTATAAAATAATTGTGTGTGTGTGTGTGTGTGTGTGTGTGTGTGTGTGTTAAATAAGCTTATTGAGTGAAAGAAAATAGAAGCCACGGAGTGGGAGAAAATATTAGCAACATGTACTTTGACAAAAGATGGGCATGCAGAACAGATAAGGAACTCTTAAAAATCAAGAAAAACACATTCCCCCTAATTGAAAAAATATGGACAAAAGAGTTAAGTCACCACACTTTTATAACAGAGGATATCTAAATGGCTAACCATCATATGAAAAAGATGACCTTCAATATTAATCATCAAAGAAATAAAAATTGAAATCACTGTACATACAATATAATAATATAATGTCTAAAATTATTTTTTAAAAAATGGCAATACCATGTGTAGGCAAGGCTGTAAAGCAAAAGAATTCCTCAAACAGCTCTGATGGGAGTGTAAGTTGTTACAACCATGTTGGAAAATTGTTTGGAAGTATCTTTCAAAGGTGAACGCATGCAAAACCTATGACCTGGTAATTCCAAGAGTGTTCCATACATGTGTGCCGAAAGAGATGCATTAATGTCATCAGCAGCATTTTTTTTTTGGTAAAGACCTCACATCAGGAATAGCCCAAATACCCACTTACAGCATAGAAGATAAATTAACTGTGGAATATTTAACACTCTACAGCAACTGAGAAAGAATGAATATGGCTGCATGCAACAACATGGATTCATCTCCTAAACATGAGCGAAAGAAACGAGGCACAAAAGAGTAGAATTTATTTTTATTTGTATAAAGTTCAAAAGTAGTCAAAACCAAACCTATGGAGGTAGAAACAATACCTTTAGGAGGCGTGCTGATTCAAAGGGGTCATGAAGGAGTCTTCTAGAAAGATGGGGGGGGGGTTTACACAGAAATGAGCACGTGGTGCAATAATTGCAATTTCTATACTTTTTTCTATAAGCTATACCCCAATAAAATATTCACTTGAAAATTGAACTAAATACTCCTTTCATAATTCTTAACAGAGTAGTGGTGATATCACTTTTTTGTATCCCTTCATTAAAACACTGTACCATTCCAGATTAAGGATTTTTTGGAGACACTTCACAAGGTACACAGATGCCTTTCCTCATGCAATCACTCACACTTTCCCCATAATATGTGAGTGAAAGAAGAGGACTCTGGTGTTGAAATAGAAGTGAAATAATTGTAATTGAGTTCCTGCACGAAGTCACATCATTTAAAGCACACAACTTTGTTCTGAAACTCCTTGAAGGTATCCTCAGGAGAGAAATACAATGACATAACAGGGTTTTTTAGTTTTGGCTTGCTTTGTTTTTGCCTGATAGAATAAAGACATCAGAAGAAACAATAAAGGGTTTGCTAGCTTTTAATGTGAGGGCATCTTGTATGTGTTTTTTCCTTTAAATACAGGCATACCTTGGAGATAACAGTGTATTTGGTTTCAGACCACTGCAGTAAAGTGAATATTGCAATAAAGTGGGTCACGGGAATTTTTTGGTCTCCTGGCACATGTAAAAGGTATGTTTTTACTGTAGTGTTAAGTGTGCAATAGTCTTATGTCTAAAAAAAATGTACAAACTTTAATTTAAAAAGTTTATTGCTAAAATATACTAACCACAGCCTGAGCCTGTAGTGCGTCCTAATCTTTCACTGGTGGAGGGTCTTGCCTCCATGTTGATGGCTGCTGACTGATCAGGGGGCTGGTTCCTGGAGGTTGGGGTGGCGGTGGCAGTTTCTTAAAATAAGACAACAGTGAAGTTTGTCACATCAATGGTGCTTCCTTTTTACAAACGATTTCTCTGTCGCATGTGATGCTGTTTGATAGCATTTTACCTACAGTAGAACTTCCTTCAAAATGAGAGCCATCCTCTCAGACCCTGCTTCTGCTGTATCAGCTGAGTTTACGTGATATTCTAAATCCTTTGTTGTCATTTCAACAATCTTCACAGTGTCTTCACCAGGAGTAGCCTCCATGTGAAGAAACTGCTTTGTTCATCCATCAGAAGCAACTCCTCTTCCATTATGATTTTACTCTGAGATTGCAGCATTTGAGTCCCGTCTTCAAATCCCACTTCTGGTTCTAGTTCTCTTGCTGTTTCCACCACATCTACAGTGACTTCCTCCACTGAAATCTTGAACCCCTCAGAGTCACCCCTGAGAGTTGGAATCAACTTCTTAATTCCTGTCAATGTTGATATTTTGACCTCTTCCCATGAATCACGAATGTTCTTAATCCCATCTAGAATGATGAATACTTTCCAGAAGGTTTGCAATGGACTTTGCCCAGATCCCTGAGAGGAATCACCATCTATGGCAGCTAGTGCCTTACGAAATGTATTTCTTAAATAATAAGACTTGAAAGTTGAATTGACTCCTCGATCCATGGGCAGCAGAAAGGATGTTGTATTAGCGGGCCTGAAAACCACCTCCGTCCGAGCTCCTGGTGACCAGGTGCATTGTTAATGAGAAACCATATTTTGAAAGGCATCTTTTTTTTTCTTTCTTTCTTTCTTTTTTTTTTTTTTCCTGATCAGTAGGTCTCAACAGTGAGCTTAAAATATTCAGCCAATCATGCTGTAAACAGATGTGTTGTCATGTTCTTCCAATATGAGGCTGTTTCATCCACACTGAAAATCTGCTGTGTAAGTGTAACCACCGTCGAGAATGACCTCAGCTAGACCTTCTAGATAACTTGCTGAGGCTTATCCATCAGCCCTTGCTGCTTCACCCTGCACTTGATGTTATGGAGACGGCTTCTATCCTTAAGCCTCATGAGCCAACCTGTCAGCTTCCAAGCTTTTCTCTGCAGCCTGCTCACCTCTCTCGGCCTTCATAGACTGAAGAGAGTTCGGGCCTTGCTCTCAAGTAGGCTTTGTCTTAAGGGAATGCTGGGGCTGCTTTGATCTT